CTCAGACAATTGCTGTCTCCTCAGGAAGGCACTTAAACCCTCTGCCATTTAGTGCAACCCCCTGTAGGCAAGGGATTAAGGTTGCTGGCCTTGAAGGACCTTTTGCAAGGATGTTAGAGCATAAGGAACAGCTGCTGTCACAGAGAAAGTGATGCATGCTCGTGGAACCTGTCTGTTTTGATTGAGAGCAAGGAACCCTTCTCATGCCTCAGTCTCCCCCTCTCCCTGTTCTTTGGTCTCCCCCTTTCTCTGTCCCAGTCTTCCCTTCTCCCCGCCCCTCAATCTCCCCTTCTGCCTGCCATTTGGTCCCCCCGTCTCTGTCCCTTGGTCACCCCTCTCTCCCCCTCAGCCTCCACCCCCTCTACCCTTGGTTTCCCCTCTCTCTGCCCTGGGTCTTCCCTCCCTCTGTCCCTCGGTATCCCCCTTCCTGCCCCTCGGTCCCCCCTCTCTCTGTCCCGTCTCCGCCCCCCCCGCCATCCTTCGGTCTCCCCTCTCTCTGTCTTCCCCCTTCTCTGCCCCTCGGTCCTCCCCTCTCTGCTTCTCAATCTCTCCCTTTCTGTTTCTCAGTCTCCTTGTGGGATCTTGGTGTTTTTTTCCACGTACATCCCTACCAGGGTGTCTGATAAGCAGGAGGGGTTTTATTACATCCTGGCAGTCTGTCTCCCCTTCAAATACAGCCAGTCATGTGTCTCTCCAAATCCCCTCTAATCCTCCCATGTTTTGCTGAGGTTGGCCTGGCCTAAGAGGATTGGAGCATTTGCTTAAATGAGACCAGGACAGGGACAGAGGACCTGCAGTTGGGAGACGCAGGTATCAGGGCAGCCACAAGGGGGTAGCAGAGGAAGTGAGAGGCAGAGGGAAGGGAGGAGATGGGCTCCCTGAGGTGGGAAGAAACGGGGAAGGGGACGGTCTGGAGAGAAGGAGAAGGTATGGAAGGAGGGGACATGCTCTGTGGCTGTGCAGGGACTATTTACAAGGTCGCCGAGAATTTTACCGATTTTCGAATTTTAAAGCCCCAAATAATCTACAGCTATTATATTTAATAAGAGTTCACCAAGATTCCTGTATGCAAAATAAACACAAAAATCTCAGTTGACCGCTATATAGAAGGTGAACAGATAAAAAGTGAAATTAAAATGTATCGTTAAAAATGTCATGAAATATAAAGGGCTAATTATGTAAAGTCCTAAGATTAAATCTTGGGTGTCAGTGGAGACCAAGTGGGGAATGTGGACTTCCACCCTCACCTGTCAGAAATGAAGAGGCATATCCTCCTCCCCTACCACAGTGATGTCAGAGGAAAACAACTAAATCAGAAGATTTAAATAAGATCCAGAATGCCATTGTACATAATACACAAAATATCTAGTTTTCAATTAAAAAACCACTCATCACCACTCATCTGTCAAATTTGTCATACGGTGGTGGCTTTCATGTTACTGTGATGCTGGAAGCTATGCTACCGGTATTTCAAATACCAGCAGGGTCACCCATGGTGGACAGGTTTCAGCAGAGCTTCCAGACTAAGACAGACTAGGAAGAAGGACAGGCAATCTACTTGTAAAAACATTTGTCAGTGAAAACCTTATGAATAGCAGTGGAACATTATTGAAGTTGTCAAGGATTTCATTTTACTTGGATCTACAATCAGTAAGCAGTAGTCAAGAAATCAAATGACATATTGCATTGGGTAAATCTGCTGCAAAAGACCACTTCAAAGTGTTAAAAAACAAAGATGACACCTTGAGGACTAAGTGATTTTCAATAGCCTCATATACATGGAAAGCTGGACAGTGAATAAGGAAGACTGAAGAATTGATGCCTTTGAATTATAGTGCTGGTGAAGGATACGGAATATACCATGGACTGCCAGAAGAACAAACAAATCTGTCTTGGAAGAAGTACAGCCAGAGTGCTCCTTGGAAGCAAGGATGGCGAGACTTCCTCTTATGTACTTTGGACGTTATCAGGAGGGATCAGTCCCTGGAGAAGGACATCATGCTTGGTAAAGTAGAAGGTCAGTGAAAAAGAGGAAGACCTTCAATGAGAAGGATTGACACACTGGCTGCAACAATGGGCTCAAACATGGAAACAATTGTGAGGATGGTGCAGGACTGGGCTGTGTTTCATTCTGTTGTGCATAGGGTTGCTATGAGTCAGAACTGACTCCACCTCACCTAATAACAACATCATACTAAGAATCAGGAATTTCTCAAACTGAATGAAAAAAACAAAACAAAACAAACAACAATCAACAGATGCTAACACTGAGATAACACAGATGTATGAATTATCTGACAAAGATTGTAAAACAATTATCATATTGTGGAAGGAGCCCTGGTAGCACAATAACTGAAAAAAAAAAATTCAATGGATAGACTTAATAAGAATGGAGGGGAAATAGGAAGGAGTCAGTGAAGTCCAACATAAAATAAAATAAATTACCCAATCTGAACAACAGAGAGAAAATAAACTGAACAAACAAAGAGCCTCAGGGATCTGTAGGAACATAATAAGAAAATCTAACATTTATTGTCATTGGGGTCCCGGAAGGAGGGGAGAGAGAGAGCAGGGCTGAAAAAGTATTAAAGAAATAATGGCTGAAAAGTTCCCCCAATTTGCCAAAAGCATAAACCTACAGATTCAAGAAGCTGAGTAAATCCCAAACAGGATAAATCTAATGAAATCCACATAATTTTTTTTTCAAGTGCTGAAAATAAAAAAAAAAAACTGTCCACTCAGAGTCCTATACCCAGTGAAAACATCCTTCAGGAATGAAGGGGGAAATCAAGATATTCTCAGATGAAGGAAAAGAGAATTTGTTGCCAGCAGACATACAGTAAAGGAATGGCTATAGGAAGTTCTCTGAACAGAAAATGATTTAGCAAAAAAAAAAAAAAAGGACCTTGGAACATCAGGAAGGAAGAAAGAACATGGTAAGCAAAAATATGAATAAATATACTTTTCTTCTCCTCTTGTGTTTTCTAAATTGTTTGAATGTTGAAGCAAAAATTATGAAAATGTCTAATGTGGTTCTATCTAAATGAATGTAGAGGAAATACATAAAACAATTATAAATGGGAGAGCGTAAAGGGACATAGAGGACGGTAAGGTTTACAATTCACTTGAACTGGTAAAATGATGACACATCAATAGATTGTAATAAGTTATGTACATATAATGTAACACCGACAGCAACCACTAAAAAAGCCACACAAGGTGATATACTCAAAAACACTATAGATAAATCAAAATGCAATTGTAAAAAGTGTTCAAGTAACCCAAAAGAGGGTAGGTAAAAGAAAACAGAAAAAAAGAAAGAGAGCAAACAGAAAACAAAAAATAAAATGGAAGACTTAAGTACTAACATCAATAATTACATTAAATGTAAATGATCTAAATACACCAATTAAAAGACAGAGATTGGCAGAGTGTATTAAAAAAAAAAAAAACCAACTGTATGCTGTTTACCAGAAACTCACTTCAAATATGATGATATAGACAGGTAAAGTAAAAGGATGGAAAAAGATATATCATGCAAACATCAATCCAAAGAAAGCAGGAGTGGATATATGAATATCAGATAGACTTCAGAACAAGAAAGTTACCATAGACAGACAGGAAATTATATAACAACAAAAGGGTCAATGTACCAAGAAGATGTAGCCATCCTAAATATATATGCACCAAAAAACAGAGCTGCAAAATATGTGAAGCAAAAGTTTATAGAACTGAAAGGAGAGATACGTTCACAATTATAGCTGGAGACTTCATCACCCTTCTCAACAATTGCTGGAATAACTAGACAAAAAATAAGCAAAGATATCCTGGGCCATAAAGCAAACCTCAACAAATGAAATCACAGAGCATGTTCTCTGACCAGAAAGGAATCAAAGTATAAATCAGTAGAAAAACAGGAAAATCTCCAAACTTGGAACCTGAACAACACATTTCTAAATAACCCATTTGTCAAAGAGAAAGTCTGGAGGATAGTCACATTGAGCTGAATGAAAATGAAAGATTTTGTAGGAAATAGTTAATGCAATGCTGAGAGGAAAATATATAGTACTAAATGCATACAGTAGGAAAAAAACCAAACAAACTAAGCTCCCACCTCAGGACAGAAAAAGAAGAGCAAAATAAATCCAAAGCAAGTAGAAGGAAGGAAATAGCAAAGAGCAGAAATCAATGAAACTGAAACCAATAGGGAAAAATCAATGAAACAAATAATTAGTTCTTTGAAAAGATCAATACAATTTACAAACACCCAGCATGACTGACAATAAACATCAGCTTTTAAAAACTTTTGTCAGTTTGACACAATATGTCTTTTTAATCTAGTAAATTTTTAATTTTTTTAAAAAAAATTTTATTTTAGAACACATGAGTCTGCCACTGGATTAAATGAGAAGCACTGCAATAAAATTAAAATCAAGAAATTTTACTAATGAAAAAATAATACAAATGGGAAAAAATATTTGCAACACATTAATTGCCAAGAGGTTATTCCAGAATCAATGGAAATAAACATGGGCAAAAAACTGTTCCTATTACTGGATTAGCACGTTAGAAGCCTCAGCCTAACCATAGTCAGGGAAATGAACATTACAACCACAACGAAGTCACAGCCCAGCAAATGGGGAGCCATAAAAACTATCACAATCCTAACTGCGGGCCACGAACGCGCTGGTCCAGAATGAACTATCCTTGGAAAGCTCTAGGGCCACATCTACTAAAGCTACGCCCGCGCACAGCCCTGAGCCCCAATTCCATGAATGACAAGGACCCAGGCATTCAGAGTCGTGCAACTTGTGATGCCCACACAGTGAACACGAGCACAAGCCCAACACGAGCACTTGGCTGAACAAACGGTGGCGCGTCCTCGCGTGGGAGAGTCACAACTGGCCACCGCTCAGTCCCCGCTAGCTCGCAGATAGCTTGGGACAGCGCCTCCGTCTGGCCCCTCGTGAGACTGCAGGATGCTGCTGGCACAGTTGCCCTTATAAACTCAGTAAGTTCGTGTCGTCCGCGTGGTTCCAGTCCACAAAATCAGCGCCTGCCTGGTATTCAGACATCGTGGGGATGAGGGAGGGCCCCCCTAAGGGGCCCTGGTATGAGAAGAGCCCGGTGAAATCAGGGCATGACGCGGGGTCTGGAGAGAAGCCCGCGGCGCAGGGGTCCTGGGTGCAGGCTGGGGCTGGGGCGGCCGGGGGGTCCCTTTGGGCGCCCTGAGCAGGGATCCCGCAAGCCTGGCCGGGGCTGGAGCCTGCGGGTTCTGCTTCTGGAAAGATGACCAAGGGGCTGCTGGGTGGAGGCAGGGTGCAGAAGCCAGGGCCCCTTGGGAAGGTGGGACCCGCTGGGGTCGGGGGGCACATGTCCGGGGCCCCTTGGCCTCCCCTGCCCTGTAATCGCTGCAGTTGCTGCTGTTGCTGCTGTCGCTGCTGCCGAGTGTGTTTGGCCCTGCGGTTCTTGAACCACACCTGTGGGACAGAGGGGACAGGGAGGAGGCGTGAAAGAGGAGCGGGAGCTCACGCACCCGCATCTGCCTGGGAATGAGGCTGCTCCCTGCCAGCGACGGCCTTAACGCCTCTCTCTGCCCTAGGCCCAATTAGAGGGTCCCTCAGGTTCAGGGAAGGTCCGTGGGTGAGGCAATAGGTTTGCGCTTGGCTGCTAACCTAAGGGTTGGCAGTTCAAGCCCACCCAACTGCTCCATAGAAGAAACGCCTGATGATCTGCTTCCAAAAGGCCGCAGACTTGAAAACCCTATGGATCACACATGGGGTCGCCATGAATCAAAATCGACTTAACTGGCAACCTTTTTTTTTCGAGGGGGTGGAGTTCAAGAGAACCGAGGAGTAAGAGACAGAGGACAGAAGGTGGGGGTGGGGGGGTGGGGCAGAGTGCACCCAGGAGCCCAGGAAGGGGTCCGCGTAAAGGGTCCCCGAGGGTCGGACGGGCTGGGTACCGGGAGACCCTGACGGCGTCACTCTGGGCCCCGCGGTGTTAGCTGGTTTGGCCTGGCGCAGGGTTGAGTAGGGCTCGGGGTCCTGGGTCCACACCCAGCTCTGGGAGGAGGAGAAGGCCCAGCCCCTGTGCGCCCACAGGCGGCCACTATGACTGAGGGAACTGCCCGGGGTTAAGACCTGCACTTTATGCTCCCGCAGACCGAGCTTGTCCGCCAAGGCGTTCCGCTCCTCGTAGTCCGGGTACTTGTTCTTCTCGAAGTGAGCGTGCAGCTCCCGCTGCTGCTCCTGGGTGTAGACGGTTCGCTCCTGGCGCTGCCTCCGCGGGGGGACCTGGAATGGCGCAGAGCCTGCAGGCAGGGAAACAGGGTCAGAAAAGACCCCCGGCGACCCTCCGCTTCCTGGGCCAGGTCCGGGTGAGCCGCAGGGGCGCAAGTTGAAAAGGCAGAAGCGTCCGTCTGGACCCAGATGCCCTGGGGGCATGCCCTGGCTCTCCACCTTCCAGCCCTGACAGCCTGGGCCTCTCTGGGCACCAGCGTCCACATCTTTGAAATGGGCGTAATAACAGCTCCCATATTATCACAGGGCCCACAGCAAGGGGAGATAGGGCAGGGTGGGCTCACACCCCAGAGCAACTCAGGTGGTGCAGCGGTCAGCTCCGACCTCCCGCTGCCCCATCGCTCCCATCCAAGAGCTGATGCCACGCTGACACTTGTTTGGGGGGGGTGCACTGGGTGTCCAGTCCTCTGCTAAACTCGCCCTGCTCAATTTAATTTCAGTTCCCAAACACCCTAAGCCTCCTTCCCCCTCCCACTGTACAGCGCAGGATGCTGTCCTAGGCAAGTTCAGTCCGGGGGTGGGGGTGGGGGGAGTGGTGGTGGCTAGGACGGCACTCCCCAGCCTCTACACAGAATCCCAACCTCCCCCCCACTTTGGCTCAGGCCCCAACCAGCCCCTTCCCCACAACTGGGACTCACCTGGGAGAGACTGAGGCTCCAGCATCCTCCCTCCTGTTCCGTTCCTCTGCCCGCGAGGCTGTTCACCAGCCCGGCCTGGGGGTTTAAGGCCCACCATCCGTGCTGCGGAGCCCTGGCCGTGCAGTGGTTAAGAGCTCGGCTGCTAGCCGAAAGGTTGGCAGTTGGAATCTATCAGCAGGTCCTTGGAAACTTCTATGGGCAGTTCCACTCTGTCCTATAGGGTAACTATTAGTGGAAATCGACTCAACCGCAGCGGGTTTATCTGTGCTGTGCCCACCCAGACCCACCCTGCTGGTGCGGGACCCTCCCTCTCTCAGCCCCACCCTGCAGTTCGCCCCTCGAAGGAGGTACAATGATCCTTTCATTACTGAGCAGTCCTGGGTGGGACAACAGTTTAATGCTGGCACTTGGTTACTAACCAAGGTTGGAAGTTAGAGTCGACCCAGAGGTGCCTGGGAAGAAAGGCCTGGTGATCTATTTAGCCAATGAAAACGTTATGAACCACAGTTCTACTCTGACACACATGAGGTCGCCATGAGTCAGAGCTGACTGGAAGGCAATTGGCTTTACTGCCTGGCTGCCCAGTGCTGGCAGCTGGGGAAAGTGTGTGCTCAAGACAGCCTTGGTCCTGCCCTCAGGGAATTCTCAGTCTAGCAGGGGCAGCAACAGATAAGGGGCGAGCTATACATCCAGTGCCTGGGGTGCTAGGCTTATTGGGAAGCCAATTCGATACGTGTTAAAAAATTAATTTGAGTAAAATATTATCAAAACGAACTAAAGTTCAAGTGTTTAACATAAGTTTATCCAGATATTCCCGAACTTTCTGCCACTGGCTTTAGTAGTGCTTGTGTGAAACTCTGCTGTAGAAAAGACTCTCCATTTAGAAACCAATTACCGTTCTAATCTGGAAGGAAAAGTTCCCACTACGCTAGGAGGAAGGAGCCCTGGGTGGCGCAAACGGCTAAGCGCTGGGCTGCTAACTGAAAGGTTAGCGGTTCAAACCCGCTCAGTGGCTCTGTGGGAGAAAGACTCCGCGATCTGCTCCCCAAAAGATTTGTTGTTGTTGTTAGATGCCTGGTCTTTCTCCCAGGAGCCAGATAGGACAGAACAGAACTGCCCCACAGGGTTTCCAAGGCTGTGGTCTTTATGGAAGCAGACTGCCACATCTTTCTCCAACGGAGAGGCTGACCTTTCCAGCTCTTTAACCACTGTGCCGCCAGAGTTCCTTCCTCTGCCCCAAACCCAAACCAAACCCACTGCTGTCCAGTGGATTCTGACTCACAGTGACCCTATAAGACAGAGTAGAACTGCCCCATAGGGTTTCCAAGGCTGTAATTTTTAATTTATTATTATTATTTTGTTGTTGTTAAGAATATACTAGCAAAACATACACTAATTCAACCATTTCTACATGTACAATTCAGTAATATTGATTACATTCTTCGAGTTGTGCATCCATTCTCACCTTCTTTAAGTTGTCCCTCCCACATTAACATAAACTCATTGCCCCCTAAGGTTCCTATCTAGTCTTTGGAGTTGCTGTTTCAGGCTATAAATCTTTA